AGAGAGAGAGAGAGAGAGAGAGAGAAATGGAGAGAGAGCGAGAGTCACCACTACCACCACCAAAGACAAAAACAACTCAGGGCTGGACATAGCTTGCCTAATGCTAGAGTGATTGCCTAGTAATACAAAATCCTGGGTTCAATCCCCAGTATTGGGGGTAAAAATAATCACAAAGTTGGGGCTGGGCTGCAGTTTGGTGACAGACCACTTGCCTAGCATGTGTAAGGACTGGAGTTCCATCCCTACCACAACAAAGACTAAACCAACAAATTCACATGATGTTTGGCTATGTACTAATTATACCTGGGTCTAGCTTCAGGTGTAGCTGGGTCCAAAGTCTCAAAGATGGTCACTGTCTCTCCTCGTCCCTCTATCTTGCTTATCTCTTGAGTTTTTGCACTGGCCACATTCAACCTTGTCACATAGACACTTTTCCCCAGTCAAAATGAGTTTCATTTTGCAACCACGCTTACAAAGTTACAGCCTGGGACACACTGACAAGAGACACTCTCTACCTTGGTCCATCTCTTTACATCACAAGCCTTGATTAGGTTCTGATTATACTGTAGGAACAGCCTTTGACTAGTTGCTATCAACAGGGCACAGGGTCTAGTGATGGGTCAAAGCTGGACCTTGAGTCACACAAAGGTGGGACACTGATCATTCCTCAGAAACCTAAAGGATAGGGAGGAATTTTTCCAAGGAAGATGGACACTATGATTCCACAGTTTCTAATCCATAAAGCAGTGTTTATAAACCTCACAAGGTGTTAGCAGAGTGAAAGAAAATCTCGTTAAGCACATAGCACTTAGCAATGGGAAGCTTTGAAAAACGATGAAATGATGGGTTAGAGCTGGGCCTGGTGGTGCTGGAAGGAAGATAAGGAGTTTGAGGCCAGCCTAGGCTACATGAGACTCTGCCTTGACGAAACCAAACCAAAAATGATGAGTTCCCCTGAGCTTAATGATGCACACCCGAGTTCCCAGCATATGGGAAGCTAAGGCAGAAGGGATGACTCCAAGTCTGAGGTCACTCTGGTCTACATAGGGAAACCTTGGCTCAGAAACACCAAAAATAAAATAAAATAAAAACAAAAAACCATGTTGGTCTACACATTTAATCCCAATTCGTGGGAGTCAGAGGCAGGTTGACCTCTGTGAGTTCAAGGTCAGCAGTCTACACAGGGAGTTCCAGGACAGCCAGGGCTACACAGAAAGACCCTGTCTCAAAACAACAAAAACCTTTCCAAAATAAAAAGAGGGCTAATGAGAAAGCTCAATGGGTAAAAGCAATTGCTGTGAAAACTTGACAACCTGAGTTGGTTCCTAGAACCTACAGCGGAAGAACCAACTCTTGACCGTTGTCCTCTGACCTTTGCGTGTGTGCCATGGCATGTACAAACCCCGCTCACATACCATGTCTGTCCCCAGCCTTCACACACCACAATAATAAATAGAGACAGTCCTCACGTGGACAGCACATATGCTAAAGCCATAACGAAGCACATCATATTTTTCTGAACACCAAAGAGTTGGGGGTTTCTACTTCTCTAATTCACTCTGCACAATTCCAGGGAAATTCTTCAAAACCCAGCTTATCATTTCAGTACTCTGTGTGAAAAATTAGCAAGGGGTTGGATGGATGTAGGTCAGAGACAGATTGAATATTCAGCATGCATGAAGCCCAAGTTTCTATCACCAGCATTACAAAATCAGATAAAATAAAACAAAAATTACCTTAGCTACCTCTTCATGTCCAAAATGATACATAATCTGGCATTAGCTCCTTCAAGAAGGCTTGCAGTCTTATTGACCCCTAGGCCCTCAGTGTGTCTCCCTAGCCTGGCTCTGGTAGTGCAACAGTCTTTTTCTCAGTTGGTGTTGCCATTTGAATGTTCCACTGCTTCCTTTCCTAGAAGGTCAAGGTGATTTGGGGCCAGGTCACAGGCTTTGAAAGGGGTTTTGGATGTTTCATTTGGCTCCTAGTAGGAATTGGGTTAGAGAAATGGAAGAGTACTTGAAGAGCAGGCAGGAGGCTTGGTGTGATGTCTGGGCCCAAGGTAGAGAAAAGTATGGCAGAGAACGTGGTTTCTCTCTGCAGATGGGATGAAATGGGGTGGGGGGCGAGAGGGGGATGCTGAGGATGGCCTTGGGACACCTGACTTTGGTCTTTTCACAAATAGAAAAAAAATTCTGTTGAGGACAGGCTGCAAAAAAGGGTCTTTCTCAGGGCTGGAGAGATGGCTCAGAGGTTAAGAGTGCTGACTGCTCTTCCAGGGGTCCTGAGTTCAATTCCCAGCAACCACATGATGGCTCACAACCATCCGTTATGAGATCTGGCGCCCTCTTCTAGTGTGCAGATATACATGGAAGCTGAATGTTGTATAATAAATAAATAAATAAATAAATAAATAAAATACTTAAAAAAAAAAGGGTCTTTCTCTCCCAGCACTCAGGAGACAGAGGCAGGTGGGTCTCTGTGAGTTCAAGGCCAGCCTGGTCTACAGAGCCAGTTCCAGGACAGCCTGGGCTATACAGAGAAACCCTCTCTCAAAACAAACAAACAAACAAACAAACAAATGGGGTATTTATCCCACCAGTTTCTTGCTGGAGTCCACAACTCAGTTCCAAGCCTTGGTGTTTTTCTTCCTACCGTGTCTGTCCCCAGCCTTCAACATGGCCTCTACTCTGCTTGCCTCTGGTCCTGGGGTCTGGAGTTCACTGGATTTGAGCTCCTCAGTCTGATTGTAGGCTGCTCAGAGTCATGGGACCCCTGAGAGCTATGGGGTTTGACCCTGGGCTCTGTTCACAGCTAGGGTGACAGTCCTGGTCAGGGTGATGAGAGCAGGGTGTTCCCACCTGACTCAACTGTGAGAATTGCTCCAGCTTCCTGGCCTGCTGCAGCCCTGGCAGGGCAGCATAGCCTTTTCTCCCCACCTTAACCTGAGTAAGTCTTCCTTACTCAACAGTGCTGTTGGGAGCAAGGGCCTTGAAGGTCCCCCACCCAGCACATCCCTGAGGCTCTGCATTGTCTGTAGGTAGAGCTGTTTCTCTCTGATACCCAAATTCCCAAGAGTTTAACCACAAGAGGACCAAGCCTCCAAGACAGCAGAGTGCCTCACATAAATGGCATCCAGGAAGCTGTCCAGAGAAAGGGCCTGTGTGAAGAGATGGTAGGGATACTGCCAGTCACTGGCAGAATCTTTATCAATACCTTAGGCGACACTGGAGACAACTCTCATTTCTGCCCTCCAAGAGACAGGAGCTTGGAGTTAGGGAAAGGCCCATTAGTGACAAAAGTTAGCGAGACCAGAGAAGACCAAGAACAGGGCTCAGTGGACCTCTGAGGTCCCCAGCACCATACACCAATACCATGTGTGGTGTTGATGGCCAAGGCAGAGGAGCCTGCAGGTAGGAAAGTAGAGCTAGAGTCAGGGAGCCATGAGAAAGAAAAAGTGTCGGGAGAATAGTGCACCCGCGCGCGCGCGCACACACACACACACACACACACACACACACACACACACACACACAACCTAGGAGAGGCGGAAAACATACAGGAAGAAAAATACAAAGAATAAGAGAGAAACCTGGGTAGGGAGTTGAGACCAAGGAAGGTAAAAGAAAGTAAGGAGATCTAGACCCCAGAGGGCTGAAATTTTTAGAGGGGCAGGCAAGGAAGAAAGGGCCAGGTGCTATGACCCCAGGGCCTGACAAAGAGCTTATGGCCCTTACTGGCCAAGATGGATGGGACTGGATGCCAGGGCCTTTGTGGTAGAGAAGAAAGGAAAGTGCTCTAAGGAGGTCGCAAAGGGGTGGAGTGGGGGTGTCCTGACCATCTCCTTTCCCCAAGGAGCTTCTGTGTTGGTGAGAATTGGGGAATGGGCTGAGTCCAACCAGGTGTTTCTCCAGGCTGGGCCATCTGTCCTGCTTCAACAGAACAAGGGACAGGGTAGAGGGTGTGACTATGGAGAAAGTGATTCAGTTATAGGCAAGTAGGGGCAAACAAAGCAGCAAGAGGCCCCTGCAGAGGCTACTGAAAATCGCCTAGGGACCAGCAAGGATGCCCTGCACAGGTCTTCTCACCCTCCTTTGGGCCTGGCACTGCCCTCCTGACCTTTTGGCTTCCTCTTGCTTTTTCCCTGTTGGCGCTGCTAGTCGAGAAACCAGTTCTGTTCCTGCCTGGATAAGGATCTTAGCAGGCTCTTTCCAGGCCACTGCAGAAACCTGTCAGGTCAACAGCACCTGTGACAGCACCCCCAGCTGTGAGAACTCCCACCACACCTCCACCCAAACCCTGTCCCACCTACTTCCGCTGGCCAGAGTGGCCTTGCCTCCTTCACCTTCCCTTAGTGCCCTCCTTCAGGGTTAGCCCTCTTCTCTAACTACATGACCCAGAAATACCGCCTGGCGTCTAATTGGCCTCTTTCTGGAACCCATATGCTCTTCAGAGCAGGTGGAAAAGGCAGAGGACTCCCTTGGCTTTTCCCTGGGTGCCTAGGAACCAGGCACTGTTTCCAGCTGCCCCTGCCCTCATGAGCTGCTGGACCTCCTTAGCCCCCTTCCCCACAGCTGCTCTAATCAATTGTTCCCTTTAGCAGGCACAGAGGCCCTTGCATAGTCACCGGCCTGAAGGGCTGACCTCACTTAACCCCAGCCCCCCTGGGCTCCTCATGAGCCTTCATTCATTTCCCGTGACACCCTGGCCTCCTTCTTATCCTCTGGAACAGCAGCCCCCACTCCTCAGGGAGAAGGCCGAAAGGTCAACTCTAGTTTTCTTCCTCATCAAAAATCTTCCCAACCCCTGACTTTGTCAGGCACCCTAAAACCTCAGGCCCCCCTTGTTCCTCTCCCAACTTCCCTTAGGGATCTGGCTATATTTGGGGGGAGGGCGGTGATAGAGCAGCAGGTAGAAGACTTCTCTGGAAGCGTCTGGGGGTGTAGATGTTGAGCAGTGACTAGCCTGGTCTCATCTCCACCCCTTAAGTTAAGCCAGTGTGTCAGGCTAGGCTGGGACTCCAACTGGTGACTCAGACCCAGCAGCCCACAGCTGAGCTGTCCGGGGTTGGTCCTGTTCTCAGGAGTGGGGTCATGGAACCAGAGAACAGAGTCCTAGAAGACAGGGATCCCAGGATGGCGCCTTTTCTTTCCGTGAGAGAAAAGCAGTGTGTGGGGTCACTCAGATGTCAGGGAAACCTTGGTCACACGAGTGATATTACATGGTTCAGGATAAACCAGATTGTTCCAAAGATGGCAGTAGACATCCTCCATCTTCTCCCCCTCCCTCAAGGGGAGGACTTTTTTGCGGGGTGGAAAGACATGTTCGTCATTCCCAGGTCCTTTCTGAGCTCATGGGAACCACCCAGCTGATGATTCAGGAGGAATTTGAACCTAGTTCTGATTTCTGTGATGCAAAAACCACCTTGCCCTGGCCCTGCCTGAGGACGACTGGGGAAGACTAGCCTCTTGCTCTGCTGCTGACTGACTCCCCCCTCTTCCCTGTGAAGTAATGGCTTCTGGGGGTAAAGAAGTCCACTAAGTTCCTGCCTTCTCCTCTCCCAGGGCCTGCTGGGCCTGCACCGTGGTGCTGTAGCAGGGTGAGCCCCCTTCTACTCTGCCAGCCTCTGTTATGCTCCCCGTGCCAAGCCTGCCTAACTCTGGTTCTGCCCCTTCTTCACAGCGGCAGATAGAGGCTAAATCTTTCAGTGAGACCGTCCCTCGACCATCTTTCTCGGCACAGACCCGGATTCTCCGAGATCAGCGAGAACTGTGGAAACTGGCAGAATGGCCAGTTAGACCCAGCACCCCATCATGGGGCAAGAACAAGTCCCACAGCTCAGCCGGTGCCTAGGACTTCCCACAGCCTTCCAAAACTTTTGAAATTTCCAAAAAATTTGAAGTCCTTCCTAAAGGCTAACTTCAGCTCAAAGGTTCCGCTCCTCAGCGGGATGAAACACGCAGGACCGGGAAGAAAGGCGTGCAGACAGGCAGAAATTTCTCCACCACTTTCCCTTTTCTCTTTGTCTTCTCTTCCCCAGCCCTGCTCTTTACTTAATCCCCCATTCAATTCACTGCTGCTGGCAGGGAGCCAGCATTGTTCCTGCCGACTCTGGTCTTCCCTCCTCCTTTCCACCCCGCGGTGGGGACCCACAGCAGCCCCTGCGGGTTAGGGCACAGTCCCCACTGCTGGCCCCGCCCGGGCCTGGAAAGTTGAGAGCTCGGGCTTCTCAGGGCCCCATTTATTCCGAATGCCATCAGTTCGGGAGGTAACTAGAACAGCCCCTCTCCGCAGCTGCTCGGCACCCAGCTTCCGTCTCCGAGCGGCTTGAGCTAGACTGTGCAGGTCGGCCGACTAAGCCGGAGGAGCTCGGGGTGGGCGGCTGCAGGCCCAGAGCCCTGGGCTCATCCTCGTTATCCGCCCGCTTCTTCTGCAGCTCCCACTCTTGCTGGGGTCTAAAGCCCGCTCTGAGGATTGCCCAGGGCGGGACCAGGACAGAGAATCGAGTATCTCCAGTCTCCTGGCAGACCGCTGCGTGCGCCCAGAACAGAGCCCCAAACAGGCTTCTCCCTCCCTCTGGTGGCAGCTTTCTAAAGCACAGTTCATTTTTTTTTTCTTTTTTAATTTGTTAGTATACAAAGAAATAGGTTTCATTGTGAGATTTTTGACACACACAGATCATTATACTTTGTTCTTATTTGTCGTGCTGTCTGCTACCCACGACACACACTGCTGTCCTCTGCTCCCTCTTGCCAGTCCTCTTCCTTAACTTCATTAGCTTGAGAGGCGCCTGGGAGTTAACTAAAGCACTCTTCCAGGTGTGTCTGGGAGAAGGCACCATCCAAAAAGCCACTGGGGAGGAGAGGGGGGACGGGGGTGGGGTGGGGCAGGGGCAGAGATGTAGCCCTGGCTTTCCTGGAACTCACAGAGATCCTGTCTCAAAATACAAACAAACAAACAAAAAACCAGTGAGACAGGCCTGTATCAGTGCCTCATTGTTGAAGAGCAGTGGCTGTTCTTCCAGGAGAACTGGGTTGGATTCAGAGCATCCACATGGTGACTGGAAACCATCTGTAACTCCAGTTTCAGGGGGATGTAATGCCTTCTTCTGGCCTCTTCAGACACCAGGCATGCTTATAGTTCACACACATACATTCAGGCAACACATTTATACACATAAAAAATTACACACACACACACACACACACACACACACACACACAGAGAGAGAGAGAGCGAGCGCGAGAGAGAGAGAGAGAGAGAGAGAGCGAGAGGCTGAATAGAAGAGGAATCTAGGCAGACGTACTTGAGTGACAGCTGTAGCCAGGGTACCCACAAAGGAAGGATGGAGTTCAGAGCTCAGTCTGCCTCCTTCTTCCCATTTTGTCCCATCTGGCCCCCAGCTCCTTTCTCAGATGGTGCTTCCTCCAAGACACACTTGGAAGAGTGCTTTAGTTAACTCCCAGGTGTCTCTCAAGCTAATGAAATTAAGGAAGAGGACTGTCCAGGTCCCCGGCCTTATATTTTGAGGTGAAGAGGTAGACCTTAGGAGGGGACCAATTCATTTTTGGGTTCAGACAACCCTGGCTACTGTCTGCAATGATGCTCTGCTCTTTTGCCTTCTCTTGTCCCATGATGTCATTCTTGGCACATTTCAGAACTTTCTGAACACTTTGGGACATAGAAAGTAATGTATAGTTATTTAGCATGTGTGAGCCCTATTGATACAAATGTAAAGAACAAACACCCCCCAATCTCTAGTCCCATTCAGTAGCACTCTCAGAACCAGGTGTGGTGTGCACACCTGTGATTCAGCACAAGGGAGGCTGAGGCAGGAGGATGGTGAGTTAGAGGTTAGTTTGTCTCAAAAATAAAACAAATAAAGAAAGTTCTTTATTTGCTAGCCAAGGCTGGGTTCTTTGTCCCCACTTGCCCTTTGACTACAGAGGGCTGGTGCCACCTACTGGCACTGTGGTTGGCCTCTCTTATCTACATTCCTCTGAGGTGAGGCCCTTGCTACACAGCCTTCTTTCCTGGGATGCCTTCCCCGTTCAGTGAGGCCCATGGGGCAGGGAAGCCAGCCTGTGCCCTTGAATTCTCCAGACAGGTCTGATCCAGAAAAAGGAGATTGTCCACTCTCTTTGAAGGGTGGCATCCCTCTCTGGGCAGGTATGACCCGGCAGTCACTCGGTGTTCCAAAACCACTATATGGCCCCTTTATGCTTCTAGTCTTCCCTCATTTGCCTGGTGGGGTAAGCCTGGAAACATCTTTGAGAACATTTGTCCTAGTTAGGTTTCTGTTGTTGTGATACACACCATGACTGTGTTAGTTAGGGTTCCTGCTGCTGTGAAGAGACATCATGACCATGGCAACTATTACAAAGGAGAACATTTAATTGGAGCTGACTTTCAGTTTCAGAGATTTAGCACATTATTGTCATGGTGGGTGGCATGGCAGCATGCAGGCAGGCATGGTGCTGGAGAAGGAGCTGAAAGTTCTGCATCTTGATCCGCAGGCAGCAAAAGCAATTGTGTACTGGTTGTAGCTTGAGACCCCAAAGCTCACCCCCACAGTGACACACTTCCTCCAACAAGGCCATACCTACTCCAACAAAGCCACACCTCCTAATAGTGCCACTCCCTATGAGGGCCATTTTCTTTCAAACCACAATGACCAAAAGCAACTTGAAAAGGAAAGGGTTTATTTCATCTTATAACTCCTAGGTCACACTCTGTCACTGAAGAGTCAGGGCAGAAATTCAAAGCAGGAACTGAAGCAGAGGCCACGGAGGACCACTGCTTACTGACTTGCTCCCTCATGGCTCACTCAGCTTGCTTTTTTTTTTTTTTTTTTTTGAGACAGGGTTTCTCTGTGTAGCTTTGGAGCCTATCCTGGCCCTCGCTCTGGAGACCAGGCTGGCCTCGAACTCACAGAGATCCACCTGCCTCTGCCTCTGCCTCTGCCTCCCGAGTGCTGGGATTAAAGGCGTGTGCCACCAACACCCGGCTTCAGCTTGCTTTTTATACAACCCAGGAGCACCTGCCCAGTGGTGGTACTGTCCTTTGTGTCTGGCCCCTCCCACATCAATCATTAATCAAGAATATGTGGATTGGGCATGGCGGCACACACTTTAAATCCTAGCATTTGGGAGGTAGAGGCAGTTGGATCCTGGTCTACATTGTGAGTTCCAGCTCAACCATGGCTATATAGCAAAAACAAAACAAAGAAAGAAGAGAAATTGCCTCCACAGACTTGCCTACAGGCCAACCCAAGGGAGGCAATTCTTTGATCCTTCTGCCTTAGCTTGTGTCAATTTAACCAAAACAACCCAGAACAACAACAAAAACAAACAAAACCCCTAAAACAAACAATCTAACCAGGACAGTGTATATGGTACTTGGGGGCTGGAGTTTAGCCACAGCCCTGAGACACACTTGATTCAGAGTCACTAAACATTATTCCAAGTTCCTTCCTGGGTCAATCGTCATCTCAGATGAAACCAAACCATTCAGAGCCTTCCTTACAGAGGCCACAACAATCCTCTGTGTGAAGAGAATGTCGGTACCTCTATGTGGGTATCTTATAGAATTTATACTCTTTCTTGCTTTTAGAAAGCCACTTCCCTGTAGGCAAGCTGTGGTCTCCTGCAACTTCCAGGTCTTCATCCACTAGAGTGGCCCATCTTTTCCCTCCTATTTTGCTATTGACTTTTAAAAGCTAAAGCAAAATTGTACTTTTGTCTCAATTAAATACCATCTGGGAGTCCGCAAGATGGCTCAGTGAGTACAGGTGCCTGTTGTCAAACTAGTCGACCTGAGTTTAAGCCCTGGAACCCACATAGTGAGAGGAGTGCCAATCCTGCAAATTATCCTCTGAGCTCCCCAAGCACATGTGTACACATGTGTACACACATCCACAAAATAAATTAAAATGTAATATAAACTTAGGAACCATCTATTGCTATTTATTGACTTGTCTTCATAGGGGCCTGGGCTGGCTCTGAACTCTCACAGTGTCACTATGCAGTCCAGGTTGTCCTTGAACTCTTTTTTTCTTTTTATGATTTTTCAAGACAGGGTTTCTCTGTGTAGCTCTGGATGTTCTGGAACTCACCTGCTTTTTTTTTTAGATTTTTTATTTATTATGTATAATGTTCTGCCTATAAGTATACCTGCACACCAGAAAAGGGCACCAGATCTCATTACAGACGGTTGTGAGTCACCATGTGGTTGCTGGGAATTGAACTCAGACCTCTGGAAGAGCAGTCAGTGCTCTTAACCTCTGAGCTATCTTTCTAGCCTGGAACTCACTCTATTGACCAGGCTGGCCTCAAATTCAGAGAGATCCACCTGCTTCTGCTGAGTGCTGGGATTAAAGGTGTGCACCCCATGCCTGGCTAAAAGTGTGGGATTTTATTGTGGTTGGTGTATTTACTTATTTTATGTGTATAAGTGTTTTGCCTGCATATATGTATATGTACCATGTGCATGTCTGGCCCCCTTAGAGGTCAGAAAAGGGTGCTGGAACTGGGTTCTGCAAACTGAACCTGGGTTCTCTGAAGAATACCCAGTGCTCTTAACTGCTGAGCCATCTCTCCAGCCATGTTTTTGACTTCTTGACCTCCTGACTGAACACTTTGTGTACTGGGATTACAGATGTATTACCAGGCCTAGCTCATTTCCCTCTTACTCTGTCAAGATCTCTCCGTTTTTTTTCATGATATGTAGATCCGATAAACACAGTTTCTACTTTACTCAAAGCTGATAAAAAAAAAAAAACATTTAACATGGGTGAGTGCTTGCCTAACATGCATGAAGCATTAGGTTTAGGCCCCAGTATTGCAAAAACCCTATACTCCCTGCTTTTAACAGTCGGGAACAAGGGCAGGCCCCTTTTAGGGTTGCTCATCAGCCCTTGGCTTGCTTAGGACTCTCTGTCACTGTTTGCCTGTCTTGTCTCTCTATCCATTGCTGCCTTTCTCTGTCCCTGTTTTTGTGCCTCTGTCTCTCTCCCTCTTACTGTCTCTTGGTTCTCTGTGTCTCTGCCTCTCTCTCTCTCTCTCTCTCTCTCTCTCTCTCTCTCCCCCAGTGGCTGCTGGCCTGTTTCATACTTACCCACTGCAATGGTATGTGGTCTGTATGCTGCAGTCTCAGAGAATATTAAACCTTCAGCTGAAGGCCTCACAGATTCCTCGAAGCCAAGAAGAGTGCAGCTCAGAGCTAGAGCACTTGCCCAGTATTCATGGTGCCCTGTGTTCTACCCATAACACCACAACAGCTGGGCGTTGGTGGCCACGCCTTTAATCCCAGCAATCGAGAGGCAGGCGGATCTCTGTGAGTTCCAGGCCAGCCTGGTCTCCAGAGTGAGTGCCAAGATAGGCTCCAAAGCTACACAGAGAAACTCTGTCTCAAAAAAACAAACAAAAAACAACAACAACACAACAATCCTATAAGCAATGCAGCATCCAGAGGCAGAGAGGAAATTCTTGGCCTACTAGGTCCCTATGTGTGTTCTGGGATAAGTTATCACCATACTACATATTATTTGACTCTTAGAACAAACCTATGAGGTCATGGTGACCCTCTACCAAACAGGCCCACAGGCTCCCTTTGAGGTAGGATGTAATTTGTTCAAGGCTGTCCAGTGAGAAGGAGCAAAGTCAGAGCTATAGGCCTGCACAAAGTACAGTACCATGAGGTACGGCTGGTTTATTTTTTTACTCTTTGGGAGTCCACCACCCAGCTCCCAAATAAATACACGGATACTTATTCTTACTTATGAAAGCCTGGCCTTAGCTTGACTTGTTTCTAGCCAGCTTTTCTTTTCTTTTCTTTTTCTTTCTTTCTTTCTTTCTTTCTTTCTTTTTTTTTTTTTTTTTTTGGTTTTTAGAGACAGGGTTTCTCTGTGTAGCTTTGGAGCCTATCCTGGCACTTGCTCTGGAGACCAGGCTGGCCTCAAACTCACAGAGATCCACCTGCCTCTGATTCCTGAGTGCTGGGATTAAAGGCATGCACCACCAACGCCCGACTGTCTAGCCAGCTTTTCTAATTTAAGTAATCTTGTTTCTCTTTAACTATATTTTGCCTTAGGGCCTTTTAACTTTCTTTATTCTATATATCTTTCTTTACTTATTTTGTGGCTGGTTGGATGGCTGGGTGGCTGACCCCTGGCATCCTCCTTTCCTTTTCCTTTTCTTGCTCTGTTTTTGCTACTTGCTCTTACCCTAGATTTGCCCCCCTTATTTAATCTCTCTGCCTGCCAGCCCACCTGCTTCTCTCTCCTGCCTGGCTATTGGCCATTCAGCTCTTTACTAAACCAATCAGGTGTTTCAGGCAGGCAAAGTAACACAGCTTCACAGAGTTTAACAAATGCAACATAAAAGAATGCAACAATCTTTGCATTATAAACAAATATTCTACAACACAAATGAATATTTGTAACACATCTTAAACTAATATTCCACAATGAGGGCCAAGTCTGAGTACTTGCAGTCTCTCTCTCTCTCCCTCTCTTTTTTAAGAGTTATTTATTATATATACAGTGTCCTGTCTGTGTATCTGCCTGCAGGCCAGGAGAGGTTAGCTCATTATAGAAGGTAAGCCACCTTGTGGTTGCTGAGAATTGAACTCAGGACCTCTGGAAGAGCAGCCAGTGCTCTTAACCATTGAGCCATCTCTCAGTCCTTTCAGTCTCCTTAGAACATTGTAGGTGCTCAAAGAACTCTGCTAAAGAAGGCAGAGCAGGGTCTCTTACACTCTTTCCACTGGAGACCTCTTTGTACTTGAGAAAATTTTACATGACCTGAGTAGTAGGCAACAGGTATACAAACCAAAAACTTACTGATAATCATGAATACATTTATGTTAAAGCAAATCTTTGGTATATAGATATTTTTCCATTTATTAAAGATGAAAACAGATTTCCCTGTTAATGGGAAGGACTGCTTGTTTATTTTTTTAAACATTATTTTAAGATTTTATTTATTTATTTATTATGTATACAACATTCTGCTTCCATGTATATCTGCACACCAGAAGAGGGCACCAGATCTCATAAGAGGGCACCAGATCTCATAAGGGATGGTTGTAAGCCACCATGTAGTTGCTGGGAATTGAACTCAGGACCTCTGGAAGAACAGTCAGTGCTCTTAACCTCTGAGCCATCTCTCCAGCCTGTGCTTGTTTATTTTTATGTAAAGATGTTGTGGAATATTACTTTAACTATGCAAAGATGTGTTATATTTCTTTATGCTGCATTTGTTTAACAATGTAAAGATGTGTTGCTTTTGTTTCACCTTGCCTGCCTAAGGCACCTGATTGATTTAATAAAAAGATGAATGGCCAATAGCCAGGCAGAGGCTGCTGGGCGGACAGAATAAGTAGAAGGAGGAATCTAGGCTTTGGGGGGGGGGAGAGGGAGAAAGAGAGGGAGATGCCTGGGGCCAGCCAGCCAGGCAGCAATCAACCAGCCAGACACAGAGTAGGACATACAAAAAGAAAAAAAGGTAAAAAGCAAAATGTAGATGAAGAGAAACAGGTTAATTTTTTTCTCTTTTTAATTTATTTTTTACATTCCAATACTAGTTCCCCCTCCCTCCTTTCCTCTCACTCCCTCCACTCTCCTCCCTCCCATCTGCTCCACAGAGAGAGTAAGGCCTCCCATAGGAAGTCTACTAAGTCTGTCCCATCATCTAGTTGAGGCAGGACCAAGGCACCTCTCCACCCCCACACCCCTGTGTCTAGGCTGGGCAAGGTGTCTCTCCATATAGAATGGGCTCCACTAAGTAAGTTTATGCATTAGTGTTAGATCTTGGACCCACTGCCAGTGGCCTCAAATATTGTACCAGTCACACCATTGTCACCTTTGTTAAGGGAGTCTAGTTTGGTCTTATGCAGGTTCCCCATTTGTCAGACAGGAGTCAGTGATCTCTCACTAGCTCTGGTCAGTTGATTCTGTGGGTTTCCCCATCATGGTCTTGACTCTTTTGTTCATATTTTTGTTCCTTCCTCACTTTGATTGTACTCCAGGAGCTTAGCCCATTGGTTAGTTGTGGATTTCTGCATCTGCTTCCATCTGTGAGAAACAGGTTAATTTAAGTCAAAGAAAAAAAGCTAGCCAGGCCGGGAATGGTGGCACACGCCATTTTGTCCCAGCACTCAGGAGGCAGAGGCAGGCGGATCTCTGTGAGTTCGAGACCAGCCTGGTTTACAAAAGCTAGTTCCAGGACAGCCTCCAAAGCCACAGAGAAACCCTGTCTCGAAAAACAAAAACAAACAAACAAACAAAAAAAGCTCCAGAATTGAGCATAAACTAAGGTCAAGCATTCATTACTAATAATAAGTCTCTGTGTCATAATTTGGGAGCTAGTTGGTGAAACAAAAGAAAGCTGGCTACATAAAGATTCAAGTCTTGCCTGAACATTTGATACTTTAAGACCATGGTGGAACATCTTTAGCACTTTCAGAGTGGATCCATGCTTCGATTTAAAAATACTTACTATTATTTCTTATGTGTGTGTCTGTGCATGGGTATGTACACATTTGTGTGGATGCATGCAGAACATGGGCCTTTGATACCCCTAAAGCTGGATGTGGGTGCTGGGAATTGAACTTGAGTCCTCTGGAAGAGCAGCACGTGCTTTTAACTACTGAGGCATCACTCCAGCCCTTACATTTCTTATTCTCTGCCTGTATGTACAGGTACATAAATACCACACATGCATGCAGAGGCCAGAGGACTTGTGGGAGTCAGTTTTCTGGGTCTTGAACATCATGACAGGGGACAAGGCAGCAGGCAGGCACTGGAGCAGTAGCCTAGGGCACACATCTCAATTCACAAGCAGAAGGCAGAGAGAGAAAGCTAACCTCAATCTCCCGCCAGCCCCCAGCGACACACCTCCTCCAACAAGACCACACCTCCAAATCCTTCTCAAACTGGTCCACCAACTGGGAATCAAGAGTTCAAACATTTGAGCCTAAGGGGTCCTTGTAATTAAGTTCATTATCATCGTTCTCATTTTTTTTTTGCCAGACTTTATTGTTAGCCACCAGGGGGCTCCCTTGGGAGCTTTGTATCGAATCGAGATGACAATTATAGGAACGACAAACGACAAAAAACTTTCTTCAGCCTATGAAGTCCCTTGACATTCTCCTTTTCCTGATGTAGGGGGGAGGCAATAGGATGTCCCTGTGCGAGCACGAACTGGGCATTGCGTCTGTTAACATCATCTGGGCTGGCTGGATACGGGTGCTGGCACAGGCAGTTGGGGGGGCTAAGGCAGGAGCATCTCCATGATTGCCAGACCAGCCTGATCTACCTAGTGAGACCGATCTTTTTTTTTTTTTTTTTAATGGTGGTGGGGGCGGTGTCTACGGCCCAGGCTGGCCTCAATCCTACCTCAGCCTCCGGAGCAGCCGGAGGCTTCTCCTAGCACCAGTGGGGTTTTTCCTGCTTTAGGCAATGCCTCTCTGCAATGTTGCCTCCCTCGCGGGGTGGGTGTTCACTGTTTTACACAAAACACTGCATTGTCCGTTTTTTTTTGTTTTTTTGTTTTTTTCAACAGTTCATGAGGTTTCCAACACCAAGTCGTGTTATAACGAGACGAAAAGCTGCGTCTCAGAGGATTTGACTAAGTGTGTGTGGAAAAAGGAGGTCCGCAAGGCCAGTTTTTTGTATCTTAGGGTGTTCAGCGGGGGGCTCAGACTGTTCCTCACGCCTCCCTCAGAAAATCACAGGCTTCGGACGGGATCTCTCGGGGCCGGGCTGCCCCTTTGGTTCCACTCTCATGCACCGCAATGAAGCAGGGACTCGGGCTGACTGTTGCACTGAACCCTAAAGGGTTAAGGCTCGGGTGCCGCCCCCTTTCCCTCCCGGCTGGCGGGAGTATGAATACCCTCGCTCCAGCTCCCGACTGGAGTCCTCCGCTTCCGCCGGGTCACTGTCGTCGCCGCTACTCTTTTTCTTTCCCCTAAGAGCTCGGAAGGCCGCTCCCTTCTCCAGCGCTGCACATCCGCTCGCCCTCGGTGGGCCAGACTAGCGACATGGAGGGTT